GTTGTATGGGTATATGTGATCATTGATGGATTTAGTCACGTTAAATGTGACGAAAATCGCTTTGATCTTATATCAATATGACTAATGAACGAGATAGTTTTGTAATACCTATAATAATAATAGCAAAATGTTGAGCTCATAAGGTTGTGCACATTTGTAAGGTTACACGTATGACCTAGTGGGAGATTGTTGGATAATTTCAACATAAATGGGGCCACACGTTGTTTGTTGAAATGTGTGATGTTATTGTTTAAATGATATTAGTCAATTAAAGTGATCCGATAAAAATGTATTGTGACTAATGGGTATTAGAATTCATGGAATTATAGTGTAGAGATTGGAGTGTTGTTTTAAATTGATGAGCGGCCAATTTGAAGCAATTGAGTGACTATTGAGTTACTATTATTATTTTATATGGTTATGGTCCCCATTCGTTGGTGTTCTTCAAATTTCTCTTCATCCCCATCAAAAAAGAAAAAAAAAAATTAAAGGGAAGATCACTAATCATTTGGAAGATCCTAACCTATCCAGACAAAGAATAATTTATCATTGATCAAGGTATTAAATTAAATGACAGAAATAGCATTAAAACTTTATACGTAGTTTCGAGTTCTAATCGCACTCAATTGGCCAAAATTCATTATATATCACGGCAAAGTCGTGCATTCTACTCATCTCGTCATTTTTTTTCAAAATGTTATTATGAGTCCAAATCTGAACTCGATTGCCACATCTGCACAATTACTTTTTTTTTCTTTGCAGTTCAATGCTTTTTCAATATATTTAGCTATCTGTTCTACATCAATTTTTTTTTTGGTTAAATACTGTTTAAATTTTTATTCTTGGCTATAATTTTATTGGCTCACCTGTAAGGTCTTCTATTCATTTATGTTGCGCTACTTCTCAAAATATTTTTTATACTAAATTGGTAAGCTAGCATGTGTGATTTTCTTTGTATTTTTTAAATGTAAATTTAAAATGGAATTTAGAAGATCCATGCACAAATTCAAAAACTTTAGCATTTAGTTGATTTTTCCTTTTTTTTTTTTATAACAAATATAGACTCAATAAAAAAATTTGTATTATTTTTCCGATA